TATTATTATTATTATTATTATTATTATTATTATTATTATTATTATTATTATTATTATTATTATTATTATTATTATTTTTAGGGAAGTGTTCACTAGAAATGAACATTGTAGCAATATAAGCAATATAACTTTATTCACATATAACATTTAGATAATAATAAACATTTCAAAAAAACAATTTATACATCATATAAAAATCTTGTTGAATATACTTCAAACAATTAAATGTATCGCACAAATTACAATTCAAAAATTAATATTTCACACCCAAATTTTCGTTAAGGAACTTAACACAAATTGAAGTAACTTCGTTTACAGCTTCAGCATTAGCCGGCTCTTTAAAATTACCCCTAGCTCCTGCAAAACCATGGTGAAGGTTATCAAATCTACGATGAACGATTTTGCTAGCATATGGTTTGCTGGTAAGAACTGGATCTTTAACAAATTGGCTTTCCTATTTAATTTTTTTTTTTTTTTTTTTTTAAAAAAAAAAAAAAAAATGAAAAAATACGTATAAATACAGTTTAAACTTTAGTAAACAATCATAAGAAACTTACAAGATCAGGTTCATCTTTAGAAGGTATAAACGCAATAGGACATTGACTCTCCTTAAAGTCTTCAATATCCAAAAATCCTGGATGAATTAATATACAAGCGTCGAATGCAGGATCTTTGCAGTGTTTAGAAGCAATCATGCCACCCCAACAGAATCCTATATATCCAATATTTTGAACTTTATGTTCTTTACGAATATGCTCTACAACTGGAGTAGTGAGTTGAAGAACTTTTTCAGGAGGAGCATTTGTTTTTAGCCAATCACGTAACTGATTTCTTTAGTCGGAGGTTTGATGAGGAAATAGGTAAAGGATATAAAAAATGGTTAAAAATTGTTTAAATAAAATGAATGCTTTTTCTTTAATTTTGAAGCCTACCCTTCCTTCGCGAATCTTTCAGTAGTCCAATAATCCCCTCGAAGATAATCGGGTAATACAACAAGGAATCCTATTAGAAATCGGTTTGAAAAATCATGCATTATTTTATTTTTTTTTTGCAAACAACAGCGACTGTAGAAAACAAATTTATGTAATTTTAATACTAACCTTGAGATGCTAATATATCACAAAATTGTTTTACGTTTTCATGAAAACCAAAAATATCATAACAGATGATAACCGCATTTTTAGTTTGAGCTTCAGCGAATGAGTCAGGAATTGCACAATAGACATCTAGATCAGAAACTTTTGTAATTATGCCCTTTGGCTCATAATCACTTTTTACAGGAGGAAGCGATCCACAAGATGAAGCAATAGACATTTTATTCGAAACTGATGAGAAAAATTTTTTTTTGGTGTCAATTATATACCCATTGGAGATATGATTGGCTATTACAAATCTAGATCTTATCGCTACTTTCTTGGCATTAACTTTTGTGCAACGTGTCCTTTTGCACGACTTATTAAATATACTCTTAACACTAACATCCTTAACATAACTTTTTGAAAAAGAGGAAAGATATGGTGTTACAAAAGTGGTTACGTTGTATAAATATTTTCTACTTATCATACTTGTGCTGTTTTTTCATCTACAGAATAATGATCCTATTTATAAATTTTTTTCTCACTCGTAGATCTTATCGTTTTTCTAAAGCGGGAAAGAATAAATTTAGCAAAAACGAGTTTTACAAAAATATCAGTTATTCTATAAAGCGCAGGTTCCTGGCCCGAATTATGTTGATCATTGGCCAAAATCATCATGAATGATATTAGTACGACTGAATTAAACGGTTAAAATTGCAAAAAATGGAATTATTAAATTCCAAATATTTTTAATTCCGAAAGACGGGATAATTATAATTCCGAAAAAAATACATGCTGAAATTTGAGAAATATCATAGGCAGATTGTAATTAAGAATTGTGATTACTTAACTGCACAAAATTTGTCTCATAGTTTAGGTTGAATAGTTCATGCGCGTACTCCAAATAACGTGCAGGCAGTCGTTTCGTGACATTACGGTAATTACTATATAAGAGATGCAAAATTTTTATGAATTTGAATATATCGTATGTTATCGAATAAAAGTATCTGACCAAAGTTAAGAAATTGCTTCTACGTGTACTGTATTCTGGTCTAATTTTATTAACAACCTCCTAATTTTTGGATCTAAGTTGGAAGTTGCTTTAATTGGTAATACTATAAAATACTTAGCATTAGCATTAGATCAATACGTTCGCTCAAATATTCATATAAGCTAGTCTATATCATGTTGTATTATGCAAAAACTTAACTATTCAGATGTCTATTAGTGTATAGATTGGATTTGGAAGTCAGCAGTTTTATAAATATTTTGAACGTCAAGTTATTGCATGATTTAGAATATTAAATTTATTGTGAAAAGCATAAGGCTTTTGTAATACCACGATCCTTTTCTTCCCTTATATTTATTGCGTGAAAAGCATGTGACTTTTTTTGTACCTCAAGTTTATTATCCTTTTTTATTTTTAATTTATGTAAAAGGTCATAATTTGATTATTTTTATTAAGAAAAAAACTTTAATGATCACAAAGCGATCACTTAATCGAACATTTATCTCGTGCGAAATACTATGTAATCCCACAAAATTCGGAGATGATGTATCAGAACTTGAAATGAGCCAGGAACTGAATCTCACTTTACAACTTTTTTTGATTGGGACAAATTATCTGAAGCAAATGATTTATAAAAGGCAAATATATAACCTGAATTGCAAAGATTAGTGGATAGAGATGACATTATACTACTTAAATTGGCATACTTAATACAAAAATTATTAACAATTGGAAATTCCGTCGCTACTGTATTGACGGTAACAATAAACTGTTAGGGCTTCAAGATTTGCATCATCTAGTCAAGATTTGTAGGTAATTTAACCAGACTAATAACAAATTGACAGAATTATGAATGATGGGACTCTTCTTTTTATTAAATGAAAATGAAAACCTATGTGATACAATGGGAAGTGGAGAATGGTTGGAACAATGCATATAATAATATAGCAATTAACTTAGGCCGGCCGACTGAGGGCGTTCTCAAGCACCTACCTCAATGAATTCAATAAAAAATCTGATTGGTTAGTTTGATCAAACAGACCAATCAGATTTTTTATTGAATTCATTGAGGTAGGTGCTTGAGAACGCCCTGAGTCACTAATTTCTAACGCAAAGGTTAAAAATATAATTATGAAAGTAAAAATCTTTATTTTGGTGATACAATTGTTTATTATAAATATACAAAGATGAATTTAAAATGCTGAGTAAATTTTTGGCTAATATAGAGCAGAATTTTTTTTGAGATTGCAAAATGATTATTTTAAATGATTTTAAATTATTTAGATCAACTCATTCTGTTGAACCGTTCTGTTTCAGAGCATTTAGGCTAATTCTGATAATACTATTTTTTATTGCCATTTTATCATATTTTATCCATTTTCTTCAAAGAGTACGATATGATTTTAATTATTCGGATTTGTTTATTTCTGCTAGCAATCCACCATCTCTAATATTTCCAGGTATTATAAATAATATAATTATTCAGCATATATATACAGTATATGAATATTAAATGTATACATGGCTAATAACACATAACTTCTAGATTTTTCAATATGTCCCACAGGTATTATTTTAGAAAGCAATTTTATTTTCTTGAAAAAAGAATTTTAACTAATAAACATTGTTTTTAAGACTTGAAAAAGGATTTAAACATTGATAATTATAATATTAGTAATCCATATGATCCGAGTGAATTTCCTATTTCATATGATTCAGAACTTAAGATTTCTAATATTACATGCAATATACCTGTTGATAATTTGTTGGAATCATGCAATGTTAATATTAATTACACCAGTAATGGTTGTTGGGCTTTTTCACCGTTTAATTTTTCTGAGAGGATAAAGTTTTATGAGGAAAAATTACAATGCGATGATTCATTATGTAATATACTGTACGTATGTTAAATAATTCTTATAAGACTATTATATTAAATATTACTTTAAATGTATCATCGTCTACTGATCATTTGGCTGTAAGATTTAATTTTGCTTTTCCGGAAATGAATACTAAAATTCTTCCACGTTTGAGATTTAATATGAACCCATTTAACAAGGGACAGTTGGTTATATTCAAATTTTCTACTACTATAAGGAGAAAAAATAGTTTTCTGTTAGCTAAAATGTTTGGATTCGAACCTGATTTGGTGGATGCATTTATTGATACTGAAACTAAAGAACTTCAACGGGCTTTAAATTCCTCATATACTACTTTGGTATTGCAGCCAAAAGACAATATTACATATTGTGAGGATTATATAACAGTAAGTATACAAATAATTATTTGCAATTTTCTAATGAATTAATTTTTTAATGAAAAAAATAATTTTTTTTGTTATAGTTGGTTCTATTGTTTCAAGTACTGGTGGTCTTTATGGAGCACTTATTGGAATATATATTCTACTTTTTGGATCTACAAAGCTCTCCCCTTGGTAAGATAAAAAGTTAATTAGCATTTCGATAACAAACATAAAATTTTTCATTAAATATTATCTATTTATAGGGGTATCGTGCAAAAATTATATACGTCGATTAATGAAACGATATGTTTCTAAAGCTGGAATTCCCTTGGTTGAAGATCCATCCAAATTGCCTCAAGATGCTACTGTAGAAAATAGAATTGCAACATTAGAAACATTGTTAAGAGAATTTTTTTTGGATGATACTTCTTTAGTAACATTAAAAGAAATACGTACAAGATGTGTTAGATACCAGGATAAAAATAATGCCTTGAGAGGTGATAATTTATTACGAGATGATATCGTTGTAAATGTTAAAGAGAATGATGACTTGATAAGTGACAGTACATTTCAGAATGATGCTATGAATGTCGATGAAAATTATACTTTGATGAAAGATAGAATTCCACAATGATGACTCTAAGGAAGAAGATAATACAATAATATATTTATGCATTAGTTATTGTTAACTTATATTTAGCAATTAATTAGGTCTATATTATCCACCATATTTATTATAGCTATTATTTTTTAATTATAAAAGATATTTATAGTTTTGAACGTTATATGTTTTAAAATTTTTATTTATTATAAAATTTTTTCAGATAAAATTCGATTTAGGAACTTGGTTAAGGTTAGTGCTAAGCAAAATCAAATTAAGATTTGATATTAAATTCAAATACTTTCTCTACAGCAATAAGTTTTATTAAGCTAATCTTACTTCTTAACAAAGTTATTTTTCACAATTTTCTGATTCTAATGGTAATGAAACCATTAAATCTGCTTGGTAGTTCTCGAGATATTGGCTTTCAAAAATATCGAACTTAAGAATTTAAAATATTTGAGAGCCAATCTCTCAGGAATATCTCAGGCAAATTTTAAAAATATTACCATAATTAGAACCAAAATTCATGAAAAAAAACTTTTACGAGGTTAAGAAATAAGGTTAGATTAATAAAAAAAACTTATTCGATGCAAATATTTGAATTTAACATACAGTATTTATTCGGTTTGCCTAGCATTAGTGTCACGGAGTTTACCAGACTATCGTGTATTCGTTGACTTACTAACAGTCTTTACTCGCTTGGCTAACTTTTACGATGACTGGAGTATCGTACCAGATACTACCACCAATAATAATATACTCACACAGATAAACAGTTTATTCACTAAGAATAATTGCGGGTCAAAGAACCTCTGGTATCTCTCCTTTAGGATCGATACCCTAAATATTAATTACTAATAGTCACTGATTATTACATACTTTGCACATCGTTCATGCATCAATATTTAGACTTTTAATTAAATTGTTATCCCGATCGCTGACATTCAATCAACACGTACCCGATAGGGACACGGAAAAAATGCTATTTTATTTAAAGGATTTGAAATTCCTATAAATAAAACCGCACTTTTTCCGTGTCCCTGGTACCTGATCACTAGTCACATGGGTATCGCGTAGCATTTTATTTTAGAGACGAAGTACTAACTAACACCTTTTATGTACTTTAGTAAACCATGTTATCGTAAAAATTGATAGCTTGTTTTTTTATACAAGTTTGTAAGAAATGATAAAGGAGGTCTTAAGGTTTTATTTATCCAATTTCTTATCTAAGAAGTAGATCTTATGAAGAGCTATGGCAAATACATATAAATATATATAAATAATATACTAGTTTATAACAAATAAGAGTGAAATTTTGAACAGCAAAGCATATATTATATTTAATATGTAAAAAAATAAATATCAGTTAATATTATTAACTGCATAAAAGCTTTCATCAATGTCATCTTTATATTCATAATCTTCGCGAGAAAAATTAGAACACATAACTAATACAAAAAAAAAAAACAATTAAATGAAAATTTCAATAAAAGGGCACTAAATTGAAAGATTTATATAAGGATGGAATTAAAAATATTAAAATTAAAACTTACTATAATCTTTTAAACCTTTACCAAAGTTTTTTTTTGCATTTATAGGAACAAAATATCATATACAATGCATTGCAAATTAAGCCAAAATCTACATGATTATAATTAAACATAAGAAATATAAACATTATAACAGAAGCAATGAAATATAATTACAACTTAGTATACATACTTATTAGAAACGCAGAAATACTATAACCAATCACTGTTAATCCAAAGAGTGTAATTTTATTATTATCATTTAGGAGTTTAAAATTTGAATACGTCCCATAAAATAATTGTATGTAATATACTAATTGTATTACGCTAATTAGATAATAAATGTTCATAAATATTTTTGATTCTGATCGCACCTTTGAAAAAAATTTTTTTGTTAATAATTATAATTAACATTTTATCAAAAATATATATTGATATATGACTTACTCCTTTAAGAACTACAAAAATAATAGAGATGTGTAGCGGAATAAATCCAAAAGCGAATGCACTAGTATATAGGGGGCTATCCGACAAATCCCAAGCTTTAAAATATTCAATAGCAATAAAAACAGTCACATATGAAATAATATAGACGCAAGAAATTAATCTTTTATACCAAATAAATATGGCTGTAATTAAAAGATTTGTGAATTAATGTAAAATAATTATAATTAAAACGTGAAGAATTCAACTTACTTTTAAACTTTTCTGCGCATAAATCATTGCTAATACTTTATAATAAAAGTAATATAGATAATTTGATATATCTTTTAATATAAACAATTGAAACTTAAAGTTTACCATGATGTATATGATATATAGATATGAAAAATTACAAAAGCAGAAAAATCAATGCATATGATATACATAAATGTTGGTGGCAGAATAACTATTTAATAGTGATAGTTTCATATTAAACATAATCAACATTCATAAATAAATCCTCTAATGAAAATAGCTGTTAGCCAAAAAGTAATAATGTGGACTTTGCTTCGGAAAACCGTCTAAATTTGCAATGAATATAAATATCTGATGAAGATGTAGTTCAATCAAATTATATAATATATATATAATTAAAGCTTACAACTATGTGAGCGGTTATAATGCAAAAAATGGGAAAAGAAATAATATCCAAAAGAAAAAACATTGCTTTCTGTCGATAATAGTCAAACTTAGGACTATTATTAAGTGTAATAATTAGCCAAATAAACAATGATCCTTCTAAAATAATAAATCCAAATATAAAACCACGTATAAAATTTTGATTATGAAAGAGCAAATTCTTAATTCGTTTGATATTATACATCTTTAATGAATAAAAAAAAGATAAACAAAGAAAGAGAAAATAAATGAAATCACGATGTCAAGAGGGTTACGTATCACTTCATAGATGTTTATTTCACAGATATCTTGTTTCACAGACAATCAGTTCATAGACAAGTTTATTTTAAAGAAAATTAGTTTACAGACAGTCATTTAATAGATAGTTCATTTTATAGATATTTCATTTTGTAGACAATCTTTAACTCTGATTCAGAAGTTATTTGCTATTAAAGATTGTCTATAAAATGAATTGTCGATAAAATGAACTTTCTATAAAATGAACCTTGTCTATAAACTGATTGTCTGTGAAACAAGTATCTGTGAAATAAACTTCTGTGAAGTGATACGTAGCCTGTCAAGAGAGGCACAAGCTTTGGGAAACTAAAAAAATATGTAAAATGATTATAAACTTATATAGAATTTGTACGCTGACACTAAATTATTTTTTAAGGTAAACTACCTTGGTAATATATATTATCTAAGGACTGTCAACTTGAAACTTGCATACTTAGTTCTTAAATTTTGAATTATTTATAACTATTGATTAATGTTGATTTGGTTCCAAATCTACAAATTAAATCTTGTTATTTTTTAAAATCTGTTAATTATGTTAATTACTAATTGATATGAGCCATTTTTCCTTGATACCAATTGAAAAATGACCCAGGCCACATGTAATAAACTATTGATATTACGATTACGTATTATATTAGTGCAATTAACTTTGGGTGGTCAGCTACTTTCGAACATGTGCCGAAGTTAATAATAATGATCTATTCTGTTAATAATGTAATCAGAACTCCGAATAGATTAGGTCAGATCCAGTTCAAATGACCTAATACTTAATGTTATGCATCAATTAAAAAAACTAATGCCTACCTGGAGATGGGCAAAATTATTATCTATTCTTACTTAATATTTTTTAAGTAAAGGATAAGTTGTAAGTAATTCTTACAAAATTACTTGTCTATCCGTAGCCTACTCTAATTCTAATGATACTCCGAAATAAATTTTGACCTTTAATTTGTCGCATAACATTAAATGTCAGATAGATTATCTAGTTACTTAAGATTATTTATTATAAATATATTTAGCTCTCTAAACTTCAGATGAACAATAACAATATATATTTTTTAAAACTATATATTAAATTTACTAAAAATCCTCTAAACATAGATTAAATTATAATGTTATTTATGTTATTAATAGTATAAATATGAATTTTACTTGCAATTGATCAAGATTTAAATTAAAAATAAGTCTAAATCTTATTCAAATATTGTATATGATTTTGCTTTCGCATGATTATTAATTTATATAAATAATAAACTAATAACTAAAAATTAAATATAACAAAGTTAAAGTTATTTATTCAACTTTTCTTTACAATAGCACACATATTTTTTGTATTGAACCAATTGGACAACTTGTAGTTAACAAAAATTTAATTTATAAGGCGCTGCTATGTATAAATAAAATATAAAACGATAGCTAATATACAATATAATTATTTTATATAAATTTTGCATAAAATACCAATTTATTCATCTAAATACCAAGATAAAGTAAGTGATAAATTTGTTTAATTATAAATAAATTAAATATACTACTCATTATCGCTATCGGGAATTTCAACATGATCAATAGGTTTACTTGTATTATTACTTGAATTCACTAAATTTACAGATTCAAAAATTTTATGCGTATTATACAACTGTTAATATATTATTGATTTTTTTCAAAAAAAATATATATTACCTGGTTTAAGGAGTTTTGGAAAATGCAAGAGTCGACTTATATAAATAGCTTGCGGATTTGTTTGATAGTTGAGTCGTGCCTATTTAAATTGATCATGTGTTGAGGAATTTTTGCCTGACTTTTTAATTTCTTTAATTTGTTTATATAATTCAGTTTCTTCGTTTTTCAAATCTGTAAAAAACTGATACAGAGTATTAGCTAATTTGGTCGGGCTTGAATTTCTGCGTCTAAGCATTTATTCATCAGATCCTCTGACATAATTATTCCGAAAGAATAAATATCATTTTTGTGTGTATTCTTTTCCATTTGTATATAATACTTCTGGAGCAAGATATGGAAGCAAACAAAAAAGTTTTTTAGAATTTGAGTCATGTGACACTGGCTTACATAAGCCAAAATCAGTAACGTAAGGACTAAACA